TTTCTGGGTTATTATTGATGCAGGTGTTAATTCATGCTACAATTCAAGGATTCAAGACTTTTTTTTTGGAATATTGTTTTGATGTTGTAATTTTTTTGTTTTTTATTTTATTTTATTTTATTGTTTTACAATTTCAATTTCCGAGTTAGAATTTCATTATAATTTATTGTAACTTTTTAATTTTTTTTTTTTGTATTGTACAATAACAATTTACTTGAATATAATGTGATTTACAATTGTTTTGATGTTATAACAATTTCGATCAAGACTCCGTATTTTACCATTTTGTTTGGTTCGTATTTCTGATCTTTGTTAACTTGTTTGTATATTATTTTTATTATTATTGCAAGAAAAAAGTTAAAAAAAATAATAATAATACCAAAAAGGCACCGGTTAACCGGTGCCTAAAAGAGCTTCCACCAAAAAAATTTATTTCGCGGAATTAGTTAAGGCACCGGTTAACCGGTGCCAAAACCGATTTATGGCACCGGTTTTGAACCGGTGCCAAAAAGGGGGTATTTGGCACCCCCCACATAGGCACGGGTTCAAACCGGTGCCTTAGGCCGGGTTTGAACCGGTGCCAAATACGTTTTTTCTACTAGTGACAACACACAGTCACACATTGTAAGGAAGGGTAGTTAGTTTTATCACTTGATTATAATTTGTTTTCTTTTTTTGCTAGTTGTAACCAATATTTAGTTAGTGAAGCTACATAAAATATTTTAATTTTGTAAAATTTACATATATTTTTCTATTGATTATCCAATACTCTGCTACTAGTACTCTTTATTTGTGTTAATCCCCTTAAAGTTGTTTGTACTAAATATTTTAAAATCTTTGAAATATATTTTTCGTAATATGCCTCCGATCCTAAGTTCCATGAGTTTACATGTGATAGATATTATTTTTAGATAATATTTGTCAGGATATATTTGTATAATTATCTTATTGGGCAGCCTTGGGCCCAGCAGTAGTGGCCCAATGCTCAGCAGGCTTGGCAGAACCAGCAAGCTTGGGCTGTACCTCCAGCGCCCTTTCCCACAGCAAGGCCATATCAGCCCAGGCCTGTCCTAAGCCGCCCCCTATGCAGGCCTACTCCATGGGGCCAGTTAACTATGGCCCGCCGATGACGCCAACGGAATTAGGCAGTGCATACTCATCAATGAGTCTTTCAACTTCGGAAAATGGATGGTACATGGACTCGGGTGCAACCTCTCTTATGACGAATAATGTCGGTACACTCCTTCCCCTTTTTAATTTAAGCACTAATAATCATATTTTAGTAGGTAATGGTCATCGCATTCCAATTATTGGTTATGATCACACAACCCTTCCAAATAATTCCCTTAGGCTCAACAATGTCCTTCTTGCACCTCAAATTATCAAAAACCTTATTTCTATGCGTAAATTTACTTCTGATAATTCTGTGTCTATTGAATTTGACCCTAATGGTTTTTCTATGAAGGATCTTTGAACGGGGAGGGTAATAACGAGATGCAATAGTGCCGGGGAGCTTTATCCAGTCACCACAAACACTCCAAGCACTTGTCTAGCCACATCTCTCACCGCTATCACCCCTTGGCATGATCGTCTAGGATATCCCGGGGACTCTTCTTTAAAATTTCTTAGGAGAAATAATTTTATTTCTTGTAATAAGGAGCACGACCCCTCTTTTTGCAATTCATGTCAAATAGGAAAACATGTTAGACTTCCTTTTTACGATTCGAATAATAATACTTCTTCTGCTTTTGACATTATTTATGCTAATTTGTGGACTTCTCCTATTCGGAGCATTAATGGTCATAAATATTATTTGGTTCTTCTTGATGATTTTACTCATTATGTGTGGGCTATCCCTCTTGCTTACAAATCTCTAGCTTTCCAAAGTTTCATACACTTCCGTCAATATGTGCAAACTCAATTTAAGCGTCCCATCAAATCTTTCCAAAATGACCACGGTCGCGAATTTGACAACGACCTTTTCAAAAAGTTTGCCTAGATAATGGTTTGGTGTTTAGATTTTCTTATCCTCACACCTCTTCTCAAAATGGGAAAGCTAAGCGTATGATTCGAACCATTAATAATGTCAAACGCACTCTATTATTCCATGCTTCTTTACCCCCGTCATATTGGTCACATGCTCTTGAGACGGCAATTTACCTTCTCAATATTTTGCCAACTAAATCTATTCACCATATGACCCCGGCCCAAGCATTGTTTTGTAGAAACCCATCCTATGATCACCTACGGGTTTTTGGTTGTCTATGTTTTCCAAATCTCTCGGCCACATCTCCTAATAAACTTGCTCCTAGATCCACTCCTTGTCTTTTCCTAGGGTACCCCTTTAATCACCGAGGTTACAAATGTCTTGATCTTAAAACTCGCAAAGTTATTATTTCTAGACACGTCACCTTCAATGAGTCTTGTTTTCCCTACAAAAACTTGGAGAATTTTTCCTTAAAGGATTATGATTTTTTAGGCTACGATGACACCTCTCCACTACTGCTCACCCACTTCTTTTTGCAGCAGCCCAAGTCATCCCCACAAGCCCAATCCCACGCTACTCCATCTCCAGGCCCCACCATTGGGCGCTGGTAACCCAGCGGCCCAACTAGCTCCTAGCAGCCCAATCCCAACAGGCGCGGGGTCACCAACGGCCCAACCAGCACCTGGCGGATCACCCCAGACCCCGCCTTCTCTCACGGGCTCCCCTTCAGCTAGGATGTGCACTCCCATCTCAGCCCAGACTACCCTTAGCCCAGGTCCTACCACTCCTACAGCCCGCCAATCTCTCATTTCCAGACCACAAATACTCTCTTCACCCCAAATGCAAACCAGGTCATGCCACGGCATTACAAAACCAAATCCTAAATATGCACACTTGACCTTTGAGCATAAATCCCCATTACCCAAAAATCACAAACAAGCCTTACAATACCATAATTGGAAGCCGTGATGTTTGATGAATATAGTGCTTTAATTAAAACAGAGACTTGGGATTTGGTACCTCGGCCTTCAGGGGTGAATATTGTTAATTGTATGTGGCTTTTTAAGCATAAATACAAGTCTAATGGTGACCTTGAAAGGCACAAATCTCGTCTTGTATGTGATGGCAGGTCGCAGGAAGTTGGAGTTGATTGTGATGAGACATTTAGTCCGGTCGTCAAACCGACAACTATTCGCACAGTACTCAGTTTAGCTATGGCTAAAAAGTGGTCCATACATCAGTTAGATGTTAAAAATGCTTTTCTGCATGGTGACTTACAGGAAACATTTTATATGCATCACCCTCTCCGGGTTTCTATGATAGGAGAAAGTCTGACTATGTCTACCGCCTTCGCAAGGCTCTATATGGTTTGAAACAAGCCCCACGGGCTTGGTACCAACGTTTTGCGTATTATTTGATCAAGTTGGGGTTCGTCATTGCTAAGAGTGACACTTCTCTTTTCACTTTTCGGTAAGGGAACGATTTGGCATATTTATTGCTTTATGTTGATGATATTATTCTAGTCATTTCTTCTGACAGGTTGCGCATGGGAATTATTTCTAGCTTGCTGACAGAATTTCCTATGTCAGACCTAGGGCCACTGAGTTACTTTTTGGAATTGCGGTTACTCGCACACCGTCTTATATGTTATTGTCTCAACAGAAATATGCTCAGGAAATCTTAGAGTGTGTAGGTATGAGTTCTTGTAAACATGTCGCCACTCCAGTCAACACTAAGTCTAAACTCAGTGCTAATTCGGGTTCTCCATTCCGGGATCATACTCTGTATCGTAGCCTTGCAGGTGCACTTAAGTATCTTACTTTTACTCGTCCAGATATTGCTTATGCGGTACAACAGGTGTGTTTATTTATGCACGATCCCAGAGAGCCGCATTTTGATGCGTTAAAACGCATTCTGCGTTATATTTAGGGTACTATTGATCACAATTTACATTTATATCCTTCTGCTCCTACTCGCTTGATTACTTATACTGACGCTGACTGGGGAGGTTGTCCCGACACCCGTCGTTCCACATCGGGTTATTGTTTTTTCTCGGGGACAACCTCATTTCCTGGTCAGCAAAGCGTCAGCCTACTTTATCTAAACAAAGTGCAGAGGCGGAGTATCGAGGCATTGCGAACGTGGTTTCTAAAGCGTGTTGGCTTCGTAATTTATTAATAGAGCTTCATTGTCCCCTCCGGCAGGCTACTATCGTTTATTGTGATAATGTCAGCACAATCTATCTTTCTAGTAACCCGGTTCATCACCAATGCACCAAACATGTGGAAATGGACATCCACTTTGTTCGGGAAAAGTTTGCGTTGGGTGAGGTTCGAGCTCTTCATGTTCCATCACGATATCAGTTTGCAGACATCTTCACTAAGGGCTTATCAAGGGAGCTAGACCTCCTCCCGCTTCGATTGTGGGGGTGTGATAGATATTATTTCTAGATAATATTTGTCGGATATATTTGTATATATTTTGTATAGTCACTACTAGAATTTCCGTGGTTTTTAGACGCTTTTTAGGCATATTTTCGACACCAAAAAGCGTTGAAAATTATTTTCTCGACGCTTCTAAAAAGCGTCGAAAATTAGTTAGTCGAGAAAATTCCTCTACGCAAAAAGCGTCGCAAATATCGACGCTTTTATTGTCCAAATTCGTATACAAAGCGTCGATATTTGCATTGTGTCGTGCACTTTCTCAAATTTCTCGACGCTTTTTTGTGTCTATAATCGCATATTTGGTGACGCTTTTTTAAGTCTCTGATTTCATACTTTAAATGTACGATATTCTACCGACGCTTTTTTGTGTCCATAATTTAAAATTGGGTAACACCTTTTCAAGTCCATATTCTCTATAAAAATATCCAATGTGGAAAATATTTATATTACTTGCAAAGATACTCCATATCGTAGTATTAAAAAAAATCACAAGAAAAAGTTCACCCATAAATTGAATTTATTCATAATTAAACAAGAGTACAAATTATTATATGTATACATATGTAAAATAATGCAAAAAACTATGATTATATTCTAACATTATTAAACTAATATTCATTTACAAGACATTCGATTTCTTAAACTGCTAACATTAAATAAAAATGCATAGTTGCAATACTACAACTATTTCGAAAAACACGCAACTTCTCTCTATTGAATTGGAGCTAATTTAACGTCTTCATGGAATGACTTGATTAATTTGTAGACTTGACACATATAATAGTCATAACATCCTGCATCAATAACAAGCATGTTAGAGCTGGAAGTTAAAATTTGCCATATATTTTTGTTGGTTGAATAAAACATGTTTCTAGTTAGTGGATTATAGTCCCAACAAGACAAATTATATTAGATTTAAAAGACAGACTACAGATTTGTAATAAAAAATGTAACCAGCTGCATAACAAGGTTTCTAACACTAGTTACCTCTGGTTTCATTGCTGAAGAGTACTGAAATTCTTAGTCCACAACACTAAAGTACTTCATGCTGCCAAATACATACTGATGTAGGAAATCAAGAGTTCCATCGATTATAAAACAATGCAAGTTTGAGAAACCTGCTTCGTAGTTTTTATAGTTGCATCTCAGGTCCTATATTATGAAAGAAAGAAACAAGAAAGAGAAAGGACACACAGATGATCTAGATTCCAAAAACAATTGTTGCTCGTGTGGCATGAGACATAATAAAGACCTTAACGCGGGCAAAGCACCTACTTATCATCTTAGGAAGCCCACCCAACTTAAATTTAGCCACTTCATGTTTAACTAAATCCCAAGTATTCATTTAATCAAAAACACCGAACTCAAAGCAATAAACCCGCATAGGCTTTAAGAGAGCAATAAACATCCCCGCTGCGATAGAACCATGGCAGCAGACCACTGAAATTTCCAAAAGGCACAACTTCTAGCACACAATTACAAATTTAGAAATTCTTGAGCCTAGATTGGATAACTTTTCAAGATCTATATCTTTCACGAAGGGATTATGGGCTAATATCAACTGCAGGTATATCATTTTAAGACAAACAAAACTGTAGCTCAAGGCAACTAAAATTAGTACTACGACAAATCTAAAAAAAAAAATCTAATTGTTGAAAAACCTAAAACACCGACACAACCACATAACAGATATGATCTCCCACAAAAAGTAATCCAATATAACTAGGAGGCTTCTCTTGTCACTCTAGAAAAAATGTTCCTACCCAAAAGACAGGTTTGATTTCTTATAAATAACTTTCAGTCTTTTAGATGTTAAAAGGGGTTTAATATTTAATCTAGCTTGCATTGTATTTTATTTGGAAATATCAGTACATACTTAAGCTTCCCAAAATAACAAAAAATAAGGTTTAAAATGGTTTAGTCACACACTAATACTCACACCAATCCATCTAAGTAACTCCAATTATTTAATTTTTTGGGACGAGTAAGATACTAAGTACTACTCCCGTAATACTGGTATGTAATTACTTCCTAAAGAAGAGAATAAAATAAAAAGTTAAAGTAACAACCATAAATTCAAGAAAATAGCCAAATTCCCCATTCTGTTTAAACAATAAGAACTTTGCAATTAAGAAACCAACCAATTACTCCAAAAAAAATTCATAGCAAATCGTACAAAAAAAATAAAAACACAAAACCCCACTTATTTACTCAATCAGATCAGAAATTAAGCAAAAATTGAAACAAAATGGCCAATTTGACATCAAAAATTAAACCACAACAATTATAAAAAGCAAAATAACAGAAGAAAAAAAAAAAAGAAGCTAGAAATTCTAACCTGGATAAATTCATTGACCTCTAAAGCAACGTTGTATCTAGCAAAATAATACGGCATAATAAGGACAGGCATAACTCAAAAAGTGAAGACCAAATCTGTAAAGGGAGGAAAATAACCTAGCTCAAGCACTAAGGATTGAATCTGAACCCCATTGCTACTCTGAAATTTCAGAATAAGTACATTAGTTAAATTTGCAACAAATTAAACTCGTTTATCTCAATACCTCTCTCTCACAGTGGGGTTTCTACTAGAGAAGCATAAACAAAACCCTTAAATCTCTGTTCTTCATGAGTTAACCCTCTATCATCATTAAATCGTAACATTTCTGAAAATTAAAACTCTAGATCTAAAATACTCAATTTTAACAAGAAATTAAAAAAATGATAAAAAGTACCTTTGAATAATTACTAACTAGCATAGGAATGAGAGAAAAGCAAATTCTGCTTCCCAATTTATAAGAACCACGCTGAAAATACAGATCCAAATCCTAATTCCATGAATCTCTTAGTGTTTTTGGAGAACTGGGTACGGAGAAAGATGAAAAAATTAAAACTGATGAAACTATGAGAGTTAGGGTATGTAGAGCGACGGTTTTATTATCCTATAATGTAATGCCATGATGCGAGCCAAAAGAAATTTGTCACGTGCCGTGCAGGTGGGTATATCTCGACGCTTTTACCTGTCGAAAATAAATTTTGACTTAAATAAGCGTCGAGGATACACGCGTACTATATCAAGAGCTGACGCCCCCTACACTGTGTCGAGCTCACAGCGTCGCTAAAATACGCATTTTGTAGTAGTGAATTATCTTATTAGATTCCTAACGTGATTAGAGTTAGGCTTGTAACATAATATAAAGTGATCAATGGTACACACTCCAATTTGAGGAGTTTTCCCGAAATCTAACAACATGTAAAAATATTATTGTTTTGCAAATTAGAAGATAGAAGTTGAGGACATCTTAATTTTGGTTTTTTAATACACGCTACATGATATATGATATTGCTAGAGATTTATTATACTCAGTGGCGGATTCAGGATTTTCGAACTTATGAGTCACTATCAATAATTGATCACTTGTTTCAATCCAAAAAATATATAAAAAAATTATATTTCACCAAAATGATTTCAAGCCAAAAATAGGATATAAAAACACATACTGTAAAAGTATTACATTAAACAAACTTTATGATTTTTTACTTAAAAACAAGAATTATTAAAAAAAAAAAAAGTTAGATAACTTAAGAGACATGTTATTAAATATAACAGGTCTCTTTAATGAAATATGAAAGCAGCGCAAAAAAATTATTCTAGTTCAATGCTGACAAAAAGACACCTGTTATCTAGACAACAAGTCTCTAATGACATGGTGGCAATAGCAGCAACAAAGATACCACCTATCTGATATTTTAATAGGCGGTCTCTTTGATATTTAAATAACTGACAGTGGGCTAATCCAAACAGATTCAACAAAGAGACTGCCTATCTGTAATACGGGGTCTCTTAGTTTTTTTTTTTTTTTTTTTATTTTTTTTGCTGGTGAGTCACATGATTCACTGTGCACCTTAATAGATCTGCCCCTGATTATACTTGTCATCAATTTTTTGAACGGATTATACTTGTCATCTCGAAACTCTATATTGATCAATAACAAAGTAAGAACAGCTATAAAGAGCATTATTTGAAAAATTGTTTCCTATATTTATGATATAGTTCATAGGAAAAAAATTTTGCGAGTTACAAAAATTGCTCGATGAATCTTCAAATGATTATTGGGAATGATTCAAGCAACTAACATCTATCTAATTGTCCAAAAAAAAAAAAAAAAAAAAAATATCACAAGAGAAGCTAACAACACTAGCTAACTACAAAACCCTCTTTAATTAAAGCTTTTGTTTAACTAGGGTTAGGATGTCATAGGGGTAAGCTTCATTAGGGTTTTTGGACTTGAAAGCTCTTGAACCTACAATTTTATGCACAGCTTCAGTAGGATGATACCCATCCCAAAAATAATATGTATTCCTATTGCTGCATATTGTTGAAGATGCTTTGCACTGAAAATCTTCCCTTAATTGGCAACATGGGCGATTTAACACCGTGATTCCTACAAATTGGACATAGAAAATGTCAATAATAATATAAGCTATAAAATTATTTGTGAGACTTGATATAGATGTATTGTTTACTGCTTCTTTCATTAAAAATATCACAAAAGGTAATAATGATGTCGAAGGTATTATTAAAGCTAGAAACAAGAAATGCTACCTTGTCTCATAAGAAATACCCTTTTGTTGCAACTAAAATAACCGTGAGAATTTTTTTGAAAATAACCACCAACTATTCTTACTGTAGGCCCCATTCACGAATTTTTTCAATTTTTTTTGTTTATCTACCCTTTGTTCTTCGGCTTCTTAATAACAAATCCAAATCATTCAAATAAAACACATAATTAGGTACATAATTTATTAAATTGTAGGTGGTTATTACTAATTTTTTTTTATAAAATGTAGGTGGTTATTACTAAAATGAGAAGAATAGTAACAGTGGTGAAGCAAACATGGTCGTCAGAAAATGTTGGTTGCTGAAAATTGTGAGTTAAAGGTGGGAATTTGGCTTTAGTCGGTCTTTCCTAAAAAAATCAAGTATAAACTCAAGTCTAGTCTTAGAATTTGTTTATTTAAGTGGCTTCTTAAAAAAAATCGATCAATTTTAAAAGGTTGATTTTGACAAAATGACAAACTTTTCAAGAATAACTTAAGCATGACCAGGCCAATAGAATATTTTGCTACAATTGAGTTTAGTTAGAAACAAACCATTATGTGGACCGATGACCATTCCTTGAAGATTTATGTATGTAAATTTAGCATCGCGGTTTTTGCGGTTGAGCTCGGCTACAAGCGCCTTTAGTTTGTCATTCATCAATAAAACAGCAATGTTGACATCATCAACACAAAGACTATGTGGCCGATTTTTGATTACTTGACCCAAGGTGCACCCCACGAGTCCTAGCCCGAACACCACAACTTTCCTTGCTCCATTTTTATACAAAATCTTCAAGATCAAAAATAATATTAGTTAATAAAAGAATAATACAACCACTTCAATAAATCGAAACATAAACTAAAATATTAGAAATTTTGACGATTATTACCTACTATTCTTTTTATTTTAACAATTACCACCTACTATTATTTTTTTTTATTTTTATTTTTTTAGTATTACCACCTACTTTTTTATAAAACATCAAAAATTCTCACCTAGTTGTCTCACAACTACCTTATAACGTTATGTGGGCCTTACTATTTACCTTCCCTCTTCTTTTCCCTCCCTTTTCTCATTTCTCACTCGATTTTCATCTCCTTTGACTCATTTTTTAGCTCAATTTATTTTTTTGCTCAAAAATAACCACTTAGCTGGGCCCCAATTTATTTTTTCGTTCAAAAAATGAGTCAGGGAGATGAAAATCGAGTGAGAAATGAGAAAAGGGAGGGAAGATAAAAAATGGGGCCCACATGACGTCATAAGGTAGTTGGGAAGCAAGTAGGTGAGAATTTTTTTTATGTTTTATAAAAAGTAGGTGGTAATTTTTAAAAAAAATAATAACATGTGGTAATTGCTAAATTGGAAAGAATAATAGGTGGTAATTGTTCAGTGTTACTTTTTGTAGCAATTCAAACTTATGCTCCTTCTGTTAACAAACAATGCCATCTATCGTTTTGACACTTTTTTTTTTTTTTTTTGTTGATTTTCACTTTTAAAGAGTGTAGATTAATATATACCTTTGGCCAATACATCTTTAATTATCTATAGTAACACGAAATTAATTTATGTAATAAGTATAACAATTACGTACCTGTAGATTTCGTCTGTATAAACTAATGAGGGAATTAGCATAACTATCATAGGTGTAATTTCGACCAGTTGAGTAATGTTCTGGCATGAAGTAGTTGTTGATGTAGTCATTGCTGCCTATGATGGTTGTGTACAAGCATTTTTTTAAATGAGCTTGGGCTTGGGTTGATCCATTTAACTTGGTATTCAATCTTGAGATGAGCTTTTGATGATTTCTAAGTTGCTTGTCGAAGCTAACTATGTCACCCTAACCAAGGAAAATTGTAACTATTAGAAAAAAAGAACTCTTTCTACCATATATATATATATATATATATATATATATATAGTCATCTTTTGTTTAACGATGAGAGCTACAAGGGCATGGTGATAATCGATCACATAATCTCCTAAAATCGAAAGACAAGTTCTATCTACATGAGCTATCCCTCACTCTAAAAAATAAATAAAATACTAACATCATAGTACACTGCTACTAACATCATAGTAGACTGCTCATTACTTTGTTCACTTTTAGGGTCTAGACCCAAATTCCGAGGGAATGTGGACTAGAATAATGGATCAATATATAAGCCCAACGACCCATTTGCTTAAAATAAAGATAGAAATCAAGGAGGCCTAGAACAACGAAATCAACGAATTAAGAATGAAAGAAGCCTAATCAAATGGATTCATATAGAGAGGAGAAGCGCCAAAGAAGAGATAATAGTCATAAGGAACACTAGCAATTCGTGATCGGGTACGTATCGCCTAAGACCTCTACAAAAGGAACGAAGCAACAAAATTCAAGGACATCAAATCAAACATTTACATTTACATTTACATATACTTCACTTTCTCGGCATTTACATTTACAATATACTTTCACTTAATCGGCCTTTAGTTCTTAGCACTCTAGGCTTAGCAGCCTAGATTAGCTCGGTTGGGATAATCATGGAGTTAGCTTTCCTCCTCATAATTTAAAAAATCGTATGTTCCCCTAAAAAGTTTCCTAATTGTAATTTGTGTTGGTGATTATAAATTGCTCGTGCACTAGCAAGGCCTTCAATTCAATGGTCGGCAGTTTTTAAGGATATACCCTTAGTATAAGTTATAGTAGAATAGTATCATTTACTTAGGGTATGTTCACATTTACTGAATTGAGCTGAACTGAATTAAAATGATTGGAGTTGAACTAAACTGAATTGAACTGAATATTTTATGAGAGAAGGAAATTAGGAACTGAACTGAACCGAACAAAATTTAACTGATTTGAACTAATTGGAGTTGAAATGACTGAACTGAATATTTTAGGAGAGAAGAAAATTAGGAACTGAACTGAATCGAACAAAATTGAACTGAATTGAACTAATGGAGTTGAAATGAACTGAACTGAACTGATTGAATCTGAATTGAACTGGACTGAAAATAAGCTGAAATGAACAGGCCCTTAATTGTTGCATTTTTACACCAACACATCATCTAAATTTTCATTACATGTTAATATCAGGAAAAATAAAACATAAATAATAAAACGTTTTCACTATAAGCTAGAGCTAGAAATACAAAAAAAAAAAAAAAAAAAAAAAAAGGTCAAGGTGTAGTCATAATTGACCTCAACTCTTTATCACACTGCCTTTTTTTATCCAATCAGTAAAAGTATATGTAGAATTTGTAACATTTAATATTGATCACTTCTCTATATGTAAAAGAGATTATAGTACTAACTAAACTAGATGATATCCATAAGTCTGTGACACAATGCATATATGTTATTTTTACAAGGAAGCTAAGGGAAATAATTAGAAAGTACCAAATGTTGACTAGTTTCCGGACGTATACCAGCCGCACCAGATGCATAATTAACACCCTTGAGTATATCATGACCCTTTGTTGAGCTAAATGGTGGAATGCGACGATGGAATCCTAATTGCTCGGCTGCAAGAAATTAAATATGTACAAGGAGGTTAAATGGTATATTTAATCTAGCTCACTCATTTTATTACAATATACAAAGTATAATTAAAAATAGCTATATAGCAAGAACTTTATATACTTTTTTTTTTTTTTGACAAATGCAGAACTTTATATACTATGTATGTAATTGTGGTATATTCATTAAAACAAAAAAAAAAAAATAGTAAATGGATGCTTATATTATAGGGATGATTAAATTGCAAATTTTATATTTTTTGTTCGTGATTAATAAACCATCAAAATAAAATGTAGTTCTTGTAACACTGTATTTGTATTTAGAAAGTAATAAGAATTACAATTTTTTTTTTTTTTTCCTTTTGGTATAATAGTGCAATTCGATCAATTTAATATTCTTCAACTTATAGCAATAGTTGCTCAATCATTTGATTGGATTAGAATTCATCCTTTGAGTTTTAAAATAAGTTATTATTGATTATAAAATGTGAATATTTGCTAATCATTTGAAATTTAAAAATTGAGTGGTTTCACCTAAAAGCAATACAATGATGTATGTTAACCAAACCAAAACGAGCCAAAGTAGGATTTATAATTTTTTTTATGCCAAATAAGAAAAACATTAGAGAATAAATCCAAAGAAGCTTAGAAATTAAACATCCAAAATCAGTGCTTAGGTGGTAAAAAAAAAAGAAAAATTCTTGTTACATAGTATATTTTTATATGAAGCGTGAGAAGTGGCTTGACTAATCAAGATAAGTCAATTGTGTTAGGTTTGACTTAGTACGTGATTTTGGATTTAAATTATGTTAGGGTCTGATCACTTTATGTTTTTGTTGATTTATGTTTGGCTATATTGTTTTCATACTCATTCTCATTTTGTTATTTCATCAAATGCATTTGTGTAAAAGCTAAAATATTTATATTATAATGCATGCAAACAATCATAGATGCCATCAACCTAAATTATTAGCTCCTTTATCCCAATAATATTGCAATAATTGGACACTTGAACTGTTCATTACTCTTGTTTGACCATATAATATGATGTATACATTAAGCAAAATATAGTCATGTGAAATCTTATTAGATTCGTCACATAAAATGTTTTTACAATATTATTTTTTTTTATAATTTTTATATTTACACCATTCTAGATATTTAACCTATTAAATGTGCTTTGGAACGGAGAAAGTATTACACATGACAAGCCTTATATATATATATATATATATATATATATATATATATATATATATATATATATATATATATAGTATTTCATGCACAAATTATATATGAATGCTACTAGAATCACATATAGCATTTCATGCACAAATTTGCATTAACATAATTTCACACCAAAACTTATAATCGCGAATTTAACCCCAAAATAAAAATAAAAATAATAATACTATTAATAGTTTTTGCGAAAAAAAAGAAGAAAAATAAAAAGACCTCTTATATATTTTATGGTTTTATTTATGGAAAAAGATATATGCAGCCCTTAGGGCTGGTGAAAAGAATTAACAATAAATAAACATTTATTATACCGATTTACTCGTGAATTGTCCATAAATTTCCAACTTAATACTTAAAAAGAAAAGATAATTAAATGCTTATATGCAGCCCTTCGAGCTGCAACATATAGCATTACCCTTTATTTATTTATTTTATCCGCTCTTTAATTTGTTACCATTCTTACTTTATTTAAAATCACTCTAACATGTAACATTATTTCCAAATTGAAAAGTTTATTGATTTTGTTACTCCACCCTGTTATCTAAGGACTTACACCTACCAGCAGATTAGCATTGATTTATCTATTTCATATTTTCATTAATATGAATCAATGTATTTCCATATATATTGTTTTTGATACAGTATGCATGAAGCATGAACCTTAAGCATATGCTATAAAATATGCATTATTGTAGTGAAAAATTTCTTATCCGTAACTTTAGTTTTCAAATTCTTTTTTTAAAAAAATAAATTAATAAATAACTTTATTTTTCAACTTAAGTCAGATTTCAAGAGGAAAAAATCTATAGTTAAGAAAATAAAATTTACTTATATAGTTATCTCAATCTTTTCAATGATCCCAAAATAATTCTAAATTATAGGAAACACAAACCAATTACATCGACGGCGGTAAGTCCATTGGAAAACCTTCCGGTAGGTTTTCTACCCGGGATATCAATGCCATATGGACGATAGTTGGCTTTGGCCTTTGTCTTTAGACGATTGTTGTTGCCGGGATCCGATAACGAGTCACCAAAGATGAAGAAGCATGGTACTAGAGGATGAGCATGAGCCCCTAACTTTGTAATAGAAATCAATATGAGAACAATGAATGATGAAAATCTCCACATCTCTAGGATGGCGAATGCAATGGAGAGAATCAAGTAATGAAATATATTAATGATGAAAAAGTGGAGTAAAATATAATTAGGATATGAAATTTTGTTTTAAGCAAAAAAATGTGCTTATTGATCGGATGGCTTATATTTATTGTATAGATGAGTGGATATAGAAGCATTCAAACCATTAGAGGCTAGTAATATTATTGTTAATATGATGATGGCTTATATATACAAAAGCCATGCATAACCATACGTTTAAAGGGCTTAATTTTTTTAATGGTATATCCTCCTCTTTCTATATTTGCATTGCTTTAGATAAATATTGCATAGTTAGTAAGTTTTCCAATAAAAAATTAAATGTAAATCAAGCCATTGTTAAATAAGCTCAACATTATTATAATATCTGTTAGATTGTGGGAAAACTCCTTGAGCTTGGAGTGTGTACCATTGATTATAATATATGGCGGTTTACAAGGATCGTAATCCTAATATGATAAGGATACGAGATATAACAAAATATATACAAAATTATCCTAATCTGCGACAAATAATATCTATCACACCCCCGCAGTCATAGTGGGAGGAGGTCGAACGCTAAGACTGGACCTGAATTCCAGAAATAATTCTCGTGTTAGGCCTTTTGTGAAAATGTCTGCAAACTGATATCGTGAAGGAACATGGAGAACCTGTACTTGCCCCAACGCAACCTAATCTCGAACAAAATGAATATCCAACTCTACGTGTTTGGTGCGTTGATGATACCTGGGTTGCCAGAAAGGTAGATAGTAATGACATTATCACAATTAACTATAGTAGCCTGCCGTAGAGGACAATGTAGCTCAAGTAAAAGGTTACGAAGCCAATACGCCTCAGAGACAACATTTGCGACGCCTCGATATTCTGCTTCTGCACTTGACTTAGACAAAGTATGTTGACGCTTAGATGACCAAGATACGAGGTTGTCCCCAAGGGAACAACAATAGCCTGAAGTGGAACGTCGGGTATCGGGACAACCTCCCCAATCAGCGTCAGTGTAAGTAATCAAGCGATGAGAAACAGTAAGATAAAAATGTAAACCGTGATCAATGGTACCCTGAACATAACACAAAATGCGTTTCAATGCCTCATAGTAAGGTTCCCGGGGATCATGCATGAAAAGACACACCTGTTGTACCGCATAGTAAGGTGAGATACTGAAGAGCACCTGCTAAATTGCAATACAAAGTAGGATCCCAAAATGGTGGTCCTGCATCTGCACTAAGTTTGGACTTAGTGTCAACTGGAGTGGCTGCAGGTTTACAAGAGCCCATACCTGCATGCTCTAGAATCTCCTGTGCATACTTTTCCTGGGAAAGTAGCAAATAAGAAGGTTTTCGGGTTATTGCAATACCCAAAAAATAACTCAAAGGCCCCAAGTTAGACATAGGAAACTCAGTTTGCAACTAAGAGATGATTCCTGTACGCAACCTGTCAGATGAGGTAGCCAAAATTATATCATCAACTTATAGAAGTAAATATGTCATATCATCACCTTGCTGGAAAGTAAATAGAGAATTGTCACTCTTAGCGATGAAAAAACCCAATTTGATGAGAAAATTCGCAAAGCATTGGTACCAAACTCTGGGAGCTTGTTTCAAACCATAGAGAGCCTTGCGAAGCCGACAAACATGAGAAGGAGCTCTCCGATCAACAAAACATGGAGGTTGATGCATATAAACAGTTTCCTGCAAATCACTATGTAAAAAGACATTTTTGACATCTAATTGATGTATCGACCACTTTTTCGCCAAAGCTAAACTGAGAACAGTGCGAATAGTGGCTGGTTTAACTAGTGGACTGAAGATCTCATCACAATCCACACCTATTTCTAGCGACCTGCCATCACATACAAGACGAGCTTTATGCCTTTCAAGGTCACCATTAGACTTGTATTGATGCTTAAAAAGCCACATGCAATTAATAATATTCACCCCCGTAGGCCTAGGCACCAACTCCCATGTCCCTATTTTAATTAAAGCACTATACTCATCATTCATCGCCGCATTCCAATTTTTGTCATTTAAGGCCTGTTTATATGATTTTGGAAGAGGTTATTTGTGAGGATAGGGACCCAAAAAAGGAACAGTGAGGTTACAATATTTCGGGTTAGGCTTATATATACCTCTTTGACTACGGGTTATAGGTGGCGATGGGGGAGGTGGTTGAGTAGGCCGTATGGGAGGGATGCCCCGCATAGGAGGTGGTGAGTAAGTAGATGGCGAGGGTGGCAGGGGGGTTGCGGGTCTGGCAGTGTTGCCACGGGTTGGCTGTGGAGTGCGCTGCCCAGGTGAAGTTGGTGGAGAATTGGGCAGCTGCTGGGCCGCGTGTGTAGGAGAGTGGGGAAGCTGTTGGGCCGTATGAGAAGGCGATGTTGGTGGAGATGGGCCTGTAGGTTGCTGGGTTGGGCTGGCAGGATATGGGTTTTTGTGAGTAGATGGTGATAGGTGGAGAAGGAGAGCATGAGTGAGTAAAGGGGATGACTCACTTTCACCCAAAAAATCTTAACTTTTTAGACTAAAATTTTCCAAGTTTTGGTATGGAAAAAATTGACTCATCAAAGGTGACATGTCTAGAAAGAATAATTTTTTGAGTGTAAAGATCTAAGCACCTATAGCCACAGTGATTTGGTGGATAACCCACAAAAATGCAAGGAGCGGACCTAGAAGCTAATTTATTAGGAATAGTGGAGGAAAGATTTGGGTAACAAAGACAACCAAAATCACGAATGTGAGTGTAGGAAGGTATGACTCCAAATAAAGCTTGAGCCAGAGTTATGTTTTTTAGAACTTTTGTGGGCAAAATATTAAGGATATAGGTGGTCGTCTCAAGAGCATAATTCCAATATGATGGTGGTAGGGAGGCATGAAATAGCATAGTACGTTTGACATTATTTAGAGTGCGAATCATTCTCTCGGCTTCCCGTTTTGGGATGAAGTATGAGGACAAGAGAATCGAAAGAAAATGCCATTATTAATACAAAATTGTTTAAAGGGGTCATTGTCAAATTCGCGACCATGGTCACTTTGAAAGGATTTTACAGGTCTTTCAAACTGAGTGTACACATATTGTATAAAATCTAAGAATTTTTAAAAGGCTTGAGATTTATAAACAAGGGGAATGGTCCACACATAATGAGTAAAATCATCGAGAAGAACTAAATAATATTTGTGACCTCAAGTACTACGAATTATATTGGTGATGTCCACAAATCAGCATGAATAATGTCAAAAACACAATTTGTATTGCTATTAGAAGATTAAAAAGGAAGTCTAGTATGTTTCCCAAGTTGACAAGAATTGCAATCGGTGGAGACATGCTCCTTATTACAATCAATAAAATTACTATTCTTAAGAAAATTTAAAGAAGGTGCTCCAAGGTGTCCTAGTCGATCATGCCAAGTGGAAGGAGAAACGGCGATGAGGGAGGTGGCAACTGGATAAAGGTCCCCGAAGCTATTACATCTCGTGATTATTTTCCCGGTGCGAAGGTACTTCACAGAAAAACCATAAGGGTCAAATTATGTAGAAACCAAATTGTCAGAGGTAAATTTTCTAACTGAAATAAGATTCTTAATAATTTGTGGGGCAAGGAGAACATCTCGAAGGGCTAATTTATTTTCGGGAAGGGTAGTGTGACCATAACCAGTGATTGGAATACGATGACCATTACCAACTAAAATATGATTATTAGTGCTTAAATTAAACAAGGGTGAGAGAATACCAGAGTTGTTTGTCATGTGAGACGAAGCACCCGAATCCATATACCATCCGTCATCCGGATTTGCCAAAGTCATGGTTGTAAAAGAATTCTCGAGCTCTGTTGGAGACATGAGTTGACCATGGGTCGGTTGGGCTTCCATGAAACTTTGTTGTTGTTGTTGTGTCGGTGCTTGTGAAAATCGTTGTCCTCTAGTCTGAACTTGAGGATATGGGTAAGGAGGCATGACCCAGTTAGGTTGTGGAGTCCACATAAGAGCCCAAGAATAACCATAAGGCAATTGACCAGGTGGGCCGGCCCACTAAATTTGTGGAGGGGGCCTTGTGATGGAGTTTGCTGTTGATGTTGAGCAGCATTAGGCTTGCCTGAAGTTTGGCCACACCCCCTACCACGACCCTGTCCGCTTTTGCCTCTTCTGCCGGAGGTCGTACCACGACCAAATTTCCGCCCATCTCCGCCGCTGCCACGATCTTGGCCTGACTGTGTAGGTTGGATTGGATCCAAGGAAGACTCTCCTTGCTGGGCTAGGAATGATTGTGCGGCTGGAGTTGATTCATTGGATCATCGGGTTTCTTCAAAGAGCAAGCGAGACCGAGCTGTCTCGAAAGGTGGAAGAGGTTCGGTCTGCTGGATCATAGCAGCAACGGTGTTGTCTCTGTTAACAAGACCCCAGACAAGACAAATAACCAGTTTTTGTTCCGACACTGGTTGATCGACGTTAGCTAATTGATCCTTGAGAGTCTTTAACTAACAACAATAAGAGGAGATGTCGGAGAAATTTGAGAGATGCAAAGCATCAAATTGATTTTCAAGATACACGGCTCTAGTGTTTTGGTTGTCTTGGAAAATCAATTTGAGTTTATCCCAAATTTGTTGAGTTGTGGCTCCTTTAGTCAAAATTGTTTCAAGTAAGTTTGCAGAAATCGTGCCATAAATCTAACTTTTCACTACCGAATCGAGCTGGTTCCAGATAGCTTCAGAGATGTCCGTCGGTTTGGGAGTTTTAGGATCAATGTGGTCAAGAACATTGAAGGCATGAGCATGACACTCAAAAAGTTCTACCCAATTAGAATATTGGACCTTCTCTCGATCAAGAATCAGCGGGATAGCATTCTTAATGTTGTTTACACCTGGGGCAGGATGATTCTCGGAATTAGGGGGCTGGTCACCATCTCCGTCCTTACCCATTGCAAGAATTGGCTAGTAAACAGTCGAAGAAAAGACTACAACAGATTGCAGTGGGCTATGGGATGCGCGGGAATTGGTAGGCAGAGAACAAAGAGAAAACAAAGAATTAAAAAAAAATAAAATTGCGGAAGCTAGATCGATAACCTAGGCTGTGATACCATGTTAGATTTCGGAAAACTCCTTGAGCTTGGAGTGTGTACCATAGATTATAATATATAGCAGTTTACAAGGGTCATAATCCTATTATGATAAGGATACGAGATATAAAAAAATATATACAAAATTATCCTAATATGCGACAAATATTATCTAACATATAATAT